GCCGCCGTCTTCGTCGTTGCTTTTGTCGCCATCTTCTTCGCCTAAATATTTTATGCCGCCGTCCTTGCCGTTCCTTCTGTTGCCGTCTCGTTCTTGGAATTTCTTGTTGCCGCCGTCTTCTCCGTTATTTCTTTCGCCGTCTCGGTTCTCCTTCATTTCATCCAACTTATTGCGCTTTTTGCTCGGTAATTTGTTTAAATGTAAAATCAACTCCTGTTTTGTACCAGTCGTTGAACATTTAACCATCTTTTGAATTGTTTTATCGATACTTTGTTCAAATCCATTTTGTTTTATAAAATTTTCACTTTCTTAATTTTTAAACTTGTAGTTTTTAATTTGTTTGGCTCGTGATCGGCCCACTTCTGATTTTGTAGGGGTATGATATCTGTCCCTATTAATGAAACACCACACAGTATTTTATCTGGTCAGGATCACTGCCGGCATTCAACTGAACTCGCTCTCAGCTCACGACACGCACCAACCCCCGACTCTCTGAGAGAGTGAGTGTGGTGAGATCGTAAGAGAGAGAGCAAGCTCTACAACAACAGCAACGTACTCTAAGAATATTCAAGAATGTTCTAGAACAGCGGTCGGCACACACATACGTTGGCTGGGCAGAACAAAACCCTATGCTCACTTAATAGGACGCTGCCGACCGCTGTTCTAGAAGGAATACAGTAACCCTGCAGTTCCATTCAGCGCTTTTTTAGCAGTGAATCACTTGAGCACTAAGCGCTAAATCACTAGTGAATTCGTTTGAAAAATAGCGCTGATTTTAACATGGGCATGTCCTAGGGGCTCATCACTGCCAGAAACTAGCGCTTTCTTAGCACCCGTTTATTATCATTTTTCAGCGCTTAATTCATCACCAAGTTCGGCGCCTTTTTGGCGCTATTTTAGCGCCGAAATATCACCCAAAATCATCAGCAAAGAGAGAGAAAAATAAAAAATATGTTGAATTTTATCGCCTTTATCAAAAGGTTTATAGTAGTTCAATTTAAAACAAGAAAGGAAGTTAACTTCGGCTGGCCGAAGTTAGGTTATATACCCTTGCAGATATGCCTACTTAAAATGTTGTTTTTACATTGTCTAAAATCAAAACGCCTACTTTCTACAAAGTTACAATGGTTTTTCTAACAATTTTTTGATTATTCCTATGGGAGCCATAAGATATAGTGGTCCGATCCGGCTCGTTCCGACATATGTACTACCTGCAATAGAAAGAAGATTTTTGGGAAAGTTTCTTGCGATAGCTTTAAAACCGAGGGACTAGTTCGCATAGAAACGGACAGACGGACAGAAGGACAGACGGACATGGCTAGATCGACTCGTCTAGTGATGCTGATCAAGAATATATATACTTTATGGGGTCGGCAACGTCTCCTTCACTGCGTTGCAAACTTCTGACTGAAATCATAATACCCTCTGCAAGGGTATAAAAATGTAATTAGGTTTAAAATATTTGGAAAAAACAAATAAAATTTTTGGTGTATAGAATATATTCTGTGTTTAAACACATAGGTATAAAAAGTGAAAAGACCGTTTTAGTTCTCCGTTCAGTTCAAACGGTCTTTGATCAACCGAAACCGTTTTGAAACAAAAAAATCGCTTACTGGTTGAGCAAAGACCGAAAACCTTTTAAACGAAATAAACAGTTTCTATGTGACTATTTGCTCAAAGGGTCCCAAAGTGATAGTTATTTTGAGACAGCTAGAAATAGTCAACTTTTTTTTAGATGCTCTGATTTATATTCTTGATTGCTACTTAGAAATTTCTGTGATATTTTTTTACATCTTTTTATAATTATGTTTTGAACTCTTCAACGCAGTACATATTTCATATTGTACTAGAAACGTTGGTAAGAAATTATATTCTAGCTTGTTATTCAGCAAGACGTGGCATATTTAACTTCTTAAGCTGCGCTTATTGTTTTGGTAAATTTGTATTGCATTCTAAACTTGTATTAAATACGTCGTTGTTGCTGAATAAGGATTTTCGTTTCGCTGAGAAAAACAAATTCAATCTTGATTTTTGGTTTAGGGTGACGTAAATAGACTTAAGTAAAGGTTAAAATATATAATCCTCCCTGAACCGCGGTTTCTTCTGATTATCACAATAAAAATACACATGTGGTCATCTATGGTGATAATAGTTCTAGGAAAATCGCTGTCCATCGAGGATAATTTTTACACGGTTGTGGGGACTGGTTCCCTATAATACCAAATTACTCTGATTTCTGGAATTTTAAATTCGTCTTATTTTGACAAAATAGGAACAGTGCACATTAGGGTGGGTCGATTTGAGACCCCAAAAATCGTATATATAACAAGAAAGGAAGCTAGCTTCGGCCAGCCGAAGCTTATATACCCTTGCAGATCATTCCTATTAATTAACAAATCGCAAAAATGTTCAATTTTCTAATATTTCTCATTAATTTTCCGATCGTTTCTATGGCAGCTATATGATATAGTCGTCCGATTTTGATCAAATTAAAATTGAAATTCGGAAATATTTAAAAAGAGTCATATCCTAGAGTAGAAGAAAATACAATAAAAACCAAAGAAGCTAGAATTTATTTCCTATTACTTTTCCATTAATTTTCCGATCGTTCCTATGGCAGCTATATGATATAGTAGTCCGATTTTTTAAATAATTAATTCGAAATTCAGAAATATATTTCTGAATATATATATATATTTCAAAAAACACCGAAGCTAGAATTTTTTAAAGTTTTTTTTTCCTATTCTTCCTATGGGAGCTATGAGATATAGTTGTCCGATCTGGTCGGCTCCGACATATATACTACCTGCAATAGAAAGAAGACTTTTGCGAAAGTTTCGTCCCGATAGCTCAAAAACTGAGAGACTAGTTTGCGTAGAAACAGACAGACGGACAGACGGACGGACAGACGGACAGACGAGCATGGCTAGATCGACTCGTCTTGTGATGCTGATCAAGAATATATATACTTTATGGGGTCGGAAACGTCTCCTTCACTGCGTTGCAAACTTCTGACTGAAATCATAATACCCTCTGCAAGGGTATAAAAATCATTTTAGACCATAAGTATGTTCGCCAAAAGGGCTTAGAATCCTTTAAAGATTACGTTCCCCCTATACTATTCATCACTTTTTTCGGCTCCATACAAATCGACCCGCCCTAGTGTACATATATAGGGGAGAGGTCTGTAGGTTGAGACACCTTTTGTTTTTAGTCTCCCATTTGGACATTCGCTTTTGAAACTTCACGCGTTAGGTACCGATCAAAAGCTTAGTCTTTTAGCTGTAAAATAAAGCAAAAAAAAAAAATTTTTTCCCTTGGGAAAACTAAAAAATAATTTTTTTTGAAAAGTGCCAAAAAATGACAATTTGAAAAAGAGGTCTGTAGGTTGAGACACTTTTTAAAGTCAATAATACTCACACAAAAAGTACTCCAAACTATAAGGAACTATTTATTTATGTTAATTTAATCAATTTTAGCTCGTCCTAAATCATTTCCCTTCCATTTTTTAAGAACTTAGACCAAATAACAATCAAAATCAAAAGGCTCTTTGAACATTCACTTTTCCCCTAATATCAAAGAAATGTACTAGGCAGAAAGCGACCTCTGTTGGCCTCAGGCCTTTTTTTATGAAAAACGGGTGTCTCAACTTACACGCTCAAAGTGTCTCAACTTACACAAAATGGGATGTTTCGGAAAAAAATTAATAACTTTTGTTCTGACTGTCACATTAAGCTGATTCTTTTTTTAATTAGTTAACAGTTAATATACTAATGTTTTAAATCTCTTACCAAGTTAATTTAAGGACGTTATTAATTTTAAATGGAATTTTGAAAAAAGTAGACAAAAACTTTTTTGGTGCAAAATGGTACACGACTCTCACAGCTTAAATCTGGCTAGAGCCTGGCTTATAATGTTTTCCCCAAAAGTTTATTCACTAAAAAGGACTACAAAAAAAAAAAATAAAAAAAATTTTTTTAGTGGAAAAGTTTTGAGAAAATTGAGTGACGAAAGGGTCTCGAGTGAGCACAGACCCGACCGAGCCAACTTAAATTAGACTTAAATTATAATATCCTCTGCCAGGGTATACATATTTTAAAGCGGTGGAGTTATGAGGGGGAGAGGTATAGCGCATTAAACAAGAAATTATACAACCTTAACCTGCCGTAATAATATTTAAAAATAAAATAGTAAGATTCACTTAGAAGTAAATAGGTAGATTGATAGGTTTAATACTTTTTTAATTCAAACAAAATTTGATGTGGTGAACAGGCTTTAAAAAAAAAATTGTAGAAAAGTGAAAACCCCTTTTTTTAGATTTTCTTATTGAATAATTAAATTTTTTAACATTTTGAAAGTTTTTACACAGAAACCCGCAAAGAAATCGGTTTGCTCTTATAAAAGTTAGATGATCGATTTTTCAGAAAATGTGCCATATTACAATTCTTCCATGATCATTTTCCACAAACGCATTTATTTTATATGTGCATACCTGTAAAGTCAATTTTAAAGGTTAACAACTAATGAAAGCCAACTGGTATCTTGCAATACAGGCATAACAAGAAAGTATCCATGTACACACATATAAGTCAAGTAAGAAAAAGTGACACAAAAAAAGGTTTTTTAAATATGAAATCATTTAACTTTAAATATATAAAATAAGACTAATAATGCTAGCATGCCTATAAATACATTATCTTTTTAAATTGGCTATTTGCACTATAGGTCTAAATAATATTAGTAAAACCCAATTTATTTATTTTGAATAAGGGGTAATCTAATAAATAATTTGATTAACTAAAAATAGTACCATGGAAGCAGTGTTTTACGTTGTGTTAAGTGCTGCGCATAGACACAATACAAGCCATTGATCCAATTATTTGTTGAAGAATGCTTTTTAATAAACCGCATTATTTTATGTTCATATAGCTTTTAAGCTTGTAGCAGATGTTTTTATCAACAAATCTAATTTATATAAATTTGGTGTTTTTTATGCTTAGAAACGGGTGTGCCACCTCCGAAGATTTGTTTTGGAAACTAGATGCTCTACAATCTTTCATAAGAGACCTGCACTGGCCTGACGCAGAGTTTCGACAACATTTAGAACAGCGCCTTAAAATGATGGCCGTCGATATGATAGAGCAATGTATACAACGAACTGATTCGTCTTTTCAGTCATGGCTGAAAAAAAACATCGCCTTCATATCGACTGATTATATTTTACCTTCTGAAATGTGCGCAATGGTCAATGTGATATTAGATGCTAAAAATCAAAGCTTTAAATTGACTACTATTGACGGCATTGATTTGGTAAGTCATTTCATTTTATCTAACGATAAATACAGTAAACTATTTAACATTTTTATTCTATATAGTATAAATTTCATGCAAAAATTGACGACCAAATCGACAAAGCGAATGTAGCTATGACACAAGGTCTTAGCGGTAAACTTATGTCAGTGCTAGAGTCGACTTTGTCAAAACTAGCACGATACGATGAAGGTAGCTTAATAGGCTCGATTCTTAGTTTTACAAATGTTTCGAGCTCAGGAAAAGATCTTGGACAAGGATATGTTAATTTCTTTCGAAATAATATGGATCAAGTACGAGGAAAGATTGGCGACGACTTATGGACTTTAAATTTTTTTGAGCAGTGGTACTCGCAGCAGATTAATATGCTATGCAATTGGCTGTCGGAACGTTTGGACCATGCTCTGCACTATGCTCAAGTTTCATCTATTTCTCTTATAATCAAGGTAATTCAAGCCTAAGACAAACGGCGATTTCGCACATACTACATATTTGAAATATTTTTTAAAGAAATATATTAATGTTCTTTTTTTTGTTTCTTAAAGTATATAATTTAAACTGTTAAATTACATTTTAAGTTAAATTAATATAATAGAAATTAACGGAGTTAGAGGCCTACTACCTATTACGACATATTTCGAATTAAAGTGCCTTGCGGTGGTCAGGGCAACGCCTTGTCCGAAATCAAAAATTTAACAAGAGAGAACGCTATAGTCGGGTTAGAGTCCCGGCTATCTAATACCCGTCACTCGGCTAAAGGGAGTGCGAGGGAGATGGATATATACCATTTTTTGATTGCGTATAACTTTTTATTGAATGGTCCGATTTGAAAAATGTCTTCTACATTTCGATAGGTATAAATATACACAACAAAATTGCATTTATACTTCTCGGAAATCTTTAAAGGTGTGGGCGCCAGACACATTTTAAAATTGTTAGTGGGCTGTGGGCGTTAGAGGGGGCGTGGCGCTCGGCTGAAATAAACTTGCGTTGCTTAGGAAGCCCAATAATATGTCGGGAAAATCTCAACCTTCTAGCTTTTGTAGTTTCCGAGATCTCAGCGTTCATACGGACGGACAGACGGACAGACGGACAGACAGACGGACATGGCTATATCAACTCGGACCCTGATCAAGAAATATATACTTTATAGGGTCGGAAACGCTTCCTTCACCCTGTTACATACTTTTGCACGAAAACAATATACCCTTTTACTCTACGAGTAACGGGTATGAAAAGAGTTAGCTTGTTTATTTAATTAGTTTGTCGCCAAACAAAGAAATTTTGGAATCAGAGATGGTTTTCCAGAAAATGTCACATATAGGGGTGGTGTAACCCCTTAATCTAAAAAGTTTTTCCCATACTGTAGACAATTAAAATAAATTATTTCTTATTCCTTTGAATTTAGAAAATATATTCAGACTTCGAATTACAAGGTGTATTGGAAGATAAGTTAAATTCTAAAGCATATCAGGCGGTCGCACAGCGGATGGCAACTGAGGAAGCGACATGTGCCTTGACAATGCCTGACGTTAGCGAAGATGAGTAAGTTGATTGGTGCTTTTAAAGTAACATTTTTTTAAAATTTCCCCTTATTCAGACCCTGCGACGATCTTCGAGAAGGGGAGGAAGAAGACACTGGCGACGAAACTACCTCTAACATACCAAGGGGCTTACCAAAACCAAAAGTAGCTGCCGCTCAAGCTGCTGCTGTTACCAACGTGGTTGCTGGCCGTGTGGGAAATTTACTGGGCAAAGGCATTGGCGGGCTTAGTTCGAAATTAGGAAGCGGAAGTTGGTTCTAGACGCTGATAGTGTTTTAAATTTTGTAATGAATAGCTATTTTTTTTTTAATTCCTCTTCTTTACTAGAAATATCATTAATTTACATTTCTTAATGATTTAAGGTGGCATTAATAATATACAAATACACAGCTTTAAAAAGGAATTTATACCTTTGTCAATAAGTTGTTAACACCCGAACAAATAATTATCTAGCCACTTTATTAGGGAGAAACCAATATAGCTACTTTGCCTTTTGCTTCTTTGATGTTAAAACTAAATAAAAATGTACTACCCTATTACTACTTTACTAAATATAACGTATTAAATCCCAACTTAATCTAAACAAATATATAAATAGTATAGTTTATCATGAGTTTTGAAGGATATATCAATAATATGGTCTCCCGCACGTCATAACTGAAAGCTGAGCTGTTACCTGGCCCAATCTGCCTTCTCCAAAAAATAATTATGTTATTCGTAACTAAATACATATTTTTGGCTCATCAGCTGGCTGAAAAAAGCCCACAGTAAGGGTTCAGATATCAGTTCTGTTTATAGTTTAGGTATGCGTGCGTGCGTGCGGCAATTTAAGAGATAGATAATTATTTTATTTGCTGGACTAACTGAATATATTTGGCATTTGAAAAACTGTTAAAAGTTTTACTTACTATCCCTAATATTTCTAGAAGTAATACGTACTTTACTGTCAGAAAAACTAATTTATGAGTTTCTACCTGTTAATAGATAAACGAATAAATAACACACTTGCTTTTCATAATCAAAATGTTTGTACTATATGTTTAATATTTCATCATTTTCAGGAACCATAACAGTTACAGCTTTACTTTCTACCCGTTACTTAGCGAACCATGCAGATATATATTAAAAATGTGTAAAACGAAATCTACACTACAACAGGAAAGGAAGTTAACTTCGGCCAGCCGAAGTTTATATACCCTGCAGGTATGCCTATTTGAAATGTTGTTTTTAAATTTTCAAAAAACAAAACGCCTACTTCCTAGAAAGTTACAATGTTTTTCTATTATTTTTTTGATTATTTCTATGGGAGTCATAAGATATTGTAGTCCGATACAGTTTCACTCCAGACCTTATTGAGTAAAGACGTGCAGCTACGGCGATCTATATTACCAACAACCAGTGCTTATCAGCAAAATTTGCAAAAACAAACAAGAAAACAAAAGAGACTCCAAAAAAAGTTAAAAAAAAACAAGAAAGGAAGCTGCCTTCGGCCAGCCGAAGCTTATATACCCTTGTAGATAAAAGAATGCTCACTCGGTGCAGTTCCAGGGATTCCAGATTCAGCGTTTCTATTTATTTAAATTTTGTTTTTAAGTAGTCAAGAATCAAAACGCCTACTTCCTACAAAGTTACAATGAATTTTCTTAAATTTGTTTGAATATTCCTATGGGAGCCTTAAGATAAAGTGGTCCGATCCGGCTCTCTCCGACATATGTACTACCTGCAATGGAAAGAAGACTTTCGGGAAAGTTTCATCGCGATAGCTTTAAAACTGAGAGACTAGTTCGCATAGAAACGGACAGGCGGACAGACGGACAGACAGACAGACGGACAGACGGACATGGCTAGATAGACTCGCCTATTGGTGCTGATCAAGAATATATATACTTTATGTGGTCGGAAACGTCTCCTTTCGTGCGTTGCAAACATCTGAGTGAAATTATAATACCCTCTACAAGGGTATAAAAATACAACAACAAACAGTCACGTGATCACAGCAACCACAAGCAAAGGGTTCGCCCCACAAAACCAAAATGTTACCACCAGATAAAAACAGACTTTTTTCTAAAAACTTAATAACTGAACATAAATTCATCGTTATAAAAAGTAAAGACAATACATCCCTGGAGGTGAAGTGGAAAAATGTAAAATTACAAGAGCAGGTACAATTCTAATTTAAACAAAAAACATACAACAAGACGAAAAACTACTAAAAAATAAAAAAAACTGGTGTAGTAGACGTAGAAGCATACGATCACAAGAACCTTAACCAGACCAAAGGAGTTATTTATTGTAATTTGCTTAGGAATATCACAGAAGAAGAAATTCTAATCGAACTAAAGTCCCAAAAAGTTTCTGAAGTGTACAAATGGACCAAACTAATCGATCAAAATCCAGTTCCTACAGGACTTATAACGCTTACATTTGACTCTACCAATCTCCCTGAAAAAGTGTTTATCGGATACGAAATAGTATTCACACGCCCATACATACCTCTTAATATGCAATGCAAGAAATGCCTTCGCTTCAACCACCCCCAAGTTTATTTAATATTTAATATATATAAAGCTATGAACAGCTCATTGGACTTAAAAAATATACAAGAAACTTTCAATATGATTGATTGTTGAGAAATAGATCGGTCATTTATTATTGTTTTCTAATCGCACCTAGTTAAATGCACATCATTGTATTGCATTCTACATAAAAGCTTTAGGCTCACACGCATAGCCGAAATTGCAGTCGATCTGCATTAGTATTGGAATATCATGCGTTTTTTTGCATTATCTTCTGCACGTTTTTTCGGCAGTCATATAGAAGTCATATAGTTGAATTGTACCCGCAACCGCTCGCTAATCGAAAACCCGCTTAAAACCTATTGTAAAACCGCTTATTACTAATAAAAACCTCAAAACCTATATAAACATTAATACAGTTTTTTTTAATATTTCAAACTCAGGTAAACCGCCTAGGGCGGCCCTGTTCAATTTTTTTTTTTTTAATATTTCAAACTCAGGTAAACCGCCTAGGGCGGCCCTGTTCAATTTATTTATATTGTTACCCGTGGCAACTTTCATAAACATTACAATGACGTTATAAACAGATAAATTGGAAGTAGTTTAAACATTAATTAGCAGTCAAGTAGATGACAATTTTGTTTTAAAAGAAGGATAGAAAGAGAAGAAGAAAAATAATTGTGTTTTAATACTAAATACTAATGCAGCTTTCAACGGGGACAGCAACCAGCAACAGCTGCCAAATAGCCAGAGTCATCTGGGCATCGAAGTTGTCCAGGGCCAGGAACCAGCTGATACAGTCAGGAAGCCAATGTCCAACACGCTCAAAGAGCACGATAGCTGGGAAGACAGGACCCATGAAGGTGGAGGAGTGTACGGCTATGGGGCCGCGGCAGAGTTGGCTCTGAGCGAGGTGTAGAGTGTGTAGTTGCAGGTGCATCTTCGTAGTAGCTGCCGGGCACCAGCAGCCGCTGGACAGGGGACTTCAGTAGTCGCTGAACACCGCTTGTAATTTTTTTTTTTTTTAACTTTACTTGCTGGAAGACTGACTAGGACTGGATGGTACCTAGTTGCCCCAAGCTTCTTTTATTGGCCTCTGATTACAAATACATGAAATATATAGGTACAATTAATGAGAGAGAGAGAACATTTACATGGCATTGAGACGGATTAGTACTTAAAGCTAGGTTTAGTATAACAGTTTTAACAGTTTTAAATTGTAACAAGGTCTACCACAATTTTGGTACATGTCTTAGATAATTTTTAGCTAGGAGCTCGACAGTTGGTAACATTAATTTTAGTACATAAACAATGCGTAAGAGCCGCAAATAATTTGAGAACTTTTAGGTCTACATCATTACGCCGACAACAGAGTGGAGCACATCCGCCTCCCTCGCCGCACCTCAGCCAGGAGTCCGACTTTGCAGACCTAAGGAGCCACGGGATCAATTCCATGGTGCCTCCGATTTGATCAACCCAAAAGCGCACCCTGTAGATCTCTTTTCAAGCGGTCGTCTGCCAGAGTCCCCTTGGATGGCATGAGAGAAGAGGATGTCGTGGAATCGCCGCAACCAACGCCGCCGCCGATTTGGAAATTACTGCAGAGATTCCAGTGCTTCGCCCGTGCGGTCGTCAGTTGAATTCCCTTACCTCGTGAAGTTTTTGGTAAGCATCTCACGCCGCTGTCAATGTGGTAAAACCATAATAAACCCCTTTCGGCAGATAAGAAAAACCAACTCCGCCAGAGCAATTCATTAGTTGGAGACACTTGGATTTTGGTGAACAGCCAGCCACTTTGGTGCCACATAAAAAATGGCAGCCCTCCGCCGCAAAATCGTCACTCGCCTTCGACCTCACCGCACACAGGACAGGCATGTGCATTAGCTGCAGTTGGGCATAAACATTGGGGCGAAGTGTATCCGGCAGTCGCTCCAAAGCGCCCAAGAGAATCCATCTCAGTAATAGATTTTCGTAGCCGCCCCCAGGATCCTTTGGGGAGTCCCACTCCAGCGCAGATGTGGGGCCCCAGGACTCAGTTGTCAGGATTCAGAGTTCCCTCGCCGCAGTCCGATGGCTCGCGCGTTGATCAATCCAGAGTGAGTTTTGATTTATATGGCATATAAAATCATATTTTGCAGATAGATGTACGGCGCAGCAGGAGCACAACTTGGGACGAAAGCAGCAGCCGGCAGTTACTGGTGAGAGGCAGCTGGAGAGCCCACTTTTTAACCGCGCAGAATATTCAATTTGCTTGTGGAGAGAAGTCCCACTTTGCGGTCTCAAGGAGTCACGTATTTGAGTTTCACGGCGCCACCGATTTGAATAAACCGCCGCCACAGCGTCTAACAACTCCAAGTGCCTCTGAAGTTCTCCTTTCAAGTAGTCGTCTGCAAGAGTCCTTTGGGTGGCAAGAAAGATGAGGATGTCGAGAAATCGCCGCAACCAACGCCGCCGCCGTTTTGGAAATTGCTGCAGAGGTTCCAGTGCTTCGCCGATGCGGTCGTCAGTTGGATTCCCTTGCCTCATGAAGTTTTTGGTAGGTATCTCACGCAGCTGACAAAGAGATAAAAACATAATCAATCCCCTTTTGCAGATAAAGAAAACCAATTCCGCCAGAGTAGCCCGCCAGTTGGAGTCACTTGGATTTTAGTGAGAGGCTAGCCATTTAGCAGCAGCATAAAAACGGCCGCTTTCCGCCACGGTTTCATTGCTCGCCACGAATTTCACCGCATACAGGACAGGCATGTGTATTAGCTACATCTTGCCATAAATGTTGGGGCGAAGTGTATCCGGCAGTCACTCCAAAGCGCACAAGAGAAACCATCTCAGTAAGAGATTCATTATAGGCGCCACGTAAAATCCTTTGGGGAGTCACACTCCAGCGTCAGTGTGAGGCCCCAGGGCTCAGCTGTCGGGATTTAAGTTCCCTCGCCGCAGTCCGTTGGCTCACGCGTTGGTCAATCCAGACTGAGTTTTGATTTATATGGCATGTAAAATCATATTTTGCAAGATAGATGTACGACGCAGCTGGAACACATCTTGGGGCGAAGGTAGCAGCCAGCAGTCACTGGTGAGAGGCAACTGGAGAATCCCCCTCTTAATCGCGCACAAAGGGCCATCCTCTCATGGAGAGGAGTCCGACTTTGCAGTCCCAAGGAGCCACGGGTTCGATTTCCTGGCGCCTCCTATTTGAAAACCGCTGACACGGCGTCATAAAGCTCCAACACCCACTGTAGTTTTCCTTTATAGCGGTCGTCTGCTAGGGTCCTTTTGGGTGGCAAGAAAGGAGAGGATGTCGAGAAACACGCCGCAAGCCTCTTGTTTTTTAAATAATGCAACGCCGCCGCCGTATTCAGGAATTTCTGCAGAGATTCCAGTGCTTCGCCGCTGTTTAAAGACAGCAAAAGTCCAGTGTGACTTTTGATTATTATATTAAATTATTGGAGGCGTAATCCAATTTTATTTTGCAGCAAAACAAGTGTCAGCTGTAGAAAACTCAGTCGTGGTG